AGCAATGGCAGGCTTTGTATTTTTTCACTTTCCTTTATGATTTACACAAGGTGGGGTATGTATATGAACTTTTTTTTGTGTCTTTGCAATTATATTTTCCCATGTTTCCTATGCTGCTAGCTATATTTATCATTTTATATTGCTGTTATTTGGACTATTACATTGCTTGTGCACTTTTTTAGATCTTATTGTCTGCAGATTATTAATTCTGTGCTTTTAGTTCCATTAATTCACATTACCTGTTCTTTGTACTAGGCTGCACTATTCGCTTTATATACAAAAGCAGATGTAATGCTGAAAATCATGTAAATATAACTTAAAATAATGTACCTCATAGGAAGTTATATATATATATATATCTATCAGTTTAAGTTTTATGTTTGGTGTGTTTATTATTGGGTTATCTTTCTGCTGGTATATGGGGTGGATGACAAAACTGTAATAAGCACCCACTGCACTTGTTTCCTTGTTTCTTTAGAAGATATTTTATCGTTTTAATTTTGTGCATGTCCTTTATCATTTTCTATATTATCTTATCATTTCCCACAATGTCTTATAGCAAGAGATGAGTCCACAGATATAACAGAAGTCACATTTTTTAGTATAACCTAGAGTAGCCATATATGTATCTTTCTCTTTTTTTTTAAATCAGAACTTGGGGTAAGCCCAGGTTTGGGCCAAGTTTGGTCCAAACCTGAGCTCACCTGAACCTGGAAGGAAGCGCCTTCTGCTGCTGCCCAATCACCTAGGAAATGCTCCATCTGCACCTGCACACAAGCAAAGCGGCGGGATGCTGTGACATCATTGACCTTATATGGTCACAGGGCTGTACTTGGTGAGTGACATTGACTTAATATGGCCATGTGGCCATATAAGGTCAATAATGGCAGCATAAGCATCCTACCTCATTACTGATTGCACAGGTGCCCCAATGTCCCATCCGGGTTTGAAGGAGTACAGGTTTGGACCAGGTTCGGTTCAGGTAACCCACATAAGATCTATTTAGAAAACAACATTTTAACAATAGTTCATTCTTTTTAATGTGTACATAGGGCTTTTTTTTATTTTTTGTGTAGCTGAGTTAATTAATTAATGTATCATTCAGGGAATACAAATGGAAATGATGCTGCTTTTATACATTGACAATAAAGTCTTATTATTTTGTGTATCTATGACTTATTATAGATGTTTCACAGCAGCTTTACAAACACAATACTTTTTTTTTTAAATCTGCCCCCAAAATCGATTTTTTTTTTAACACAAAGTAATTATGTACGTATATAAAAGGAATGGAATGACCACATATATATATATGACTCAATCTGACTGAACGTTAAGGATAATTGCCATCATTTTCTATTGTTTGCCTTTCAATCCGGATAAAATAAACTGATCAAAATGACGTAATGTTATGTACATGGCCATTGTTACCCTGATATCCTTGTACCAATTAACTAAATTATGGCATAAGTGTCATCTGACTCTGCACAGATGTCATATCTTCAAGGCTCTGCACACTTGACAGCTGCAGTATTTTTGGAAAGTTGTTCCAGCTTCTCTAGGGACAAAGGCTTCTAATTAAAGACCCTCCAGAGATCTTCTCTTTTAAAGGACACAAGGACTGACTACAGACAAGTTGCAGCTCTGCTCTTATCTTACCAATGAGCGGTTCAGTTACTGTCAACATGTTGGAGGTGGGAAAACAGAACAGACACATTTTTCTGGGTTCCTCACTGGGCCAATAATTCTTTTTTTTCTCCAACAGTAACATGTTTAACTGCTTGGCATTTTGCTGGCACTGCATTCAACTGATGTATCTCTCCAGTTCGTTTTGATTAGTTCAAGAGGTGACAAGCAGAGACTGAAACAAAGAAGGTCACTGCCTGCATTTAACACCTTCCTTTAGGCTATGTCCTTATGAAACTGAAGATAGAGAGCAGTTGTGGAAGCCCTGACATATTTCAAATTCCATCAAGGCACAACCCAGATGTGCTGTTGTCCTGTCAAGGTCTAGACAAGGAGATGCATGGGATTGATTTACCAAAGGCAAACAGGCTGTTCACTTTGCAAGGGGATAACGTGAAGCTCTGCTGACTTTCATCATCCAATCACATGCAAGCAAAAATACAGGTTTTTTTTACTTTTCCTGGCATGTAATTGAATATTCTTTTCAAAGTGAATTTTTACCAATCACTAATCACTAAGCTAAGGGAGAATGCCCTTGCAAATTAAACAGCCTATTTGCCTTTAGTAAATAAACCCAAAAAGTCTTTGTCTTTTGTTAGCAGAATTTGCTAAGCTTGGTTATTCTCTTCTAAGTGCATTCTCTACATATTACTATAAAAATGACAAATTGGAGTCAATGCCAACATCATTATAGTGTCACCAGTACCTTGTGAATTCTCTACAGTGATTCATAAATGCATCAGAGGATCAGCTACAGATGTGTCCAGAAATAGGGGGGACCTCCCAGATAGAATCATGGACAGCAGTAACACCCAGCTTTGCACCAAAGGTAGCCTCACTCCAACAACTAAGAATACATTTGGGTAGAGAATCACACTTTAAAGAGAACTGCTCTTAAGATTTATGTGAAGAAGGAATAGTCCTGTTCTTTAAAATTTGCCATGAGCTATGTGAAGACAGTATGTTAAAATCCGATTAGTCACTGAAAGTAAAACATGCCCTTCAAAAATAAATATGCAAATAAATTATTGTATTAGCTTTTTTCCTTACAATGTCCTGCTTCTATAAGCATTGAGCATAGTGCAGTTCCTTCACAATGTTATCACTCACAAATTGCAATAAAGCAAACCTGTCGCAAAAGAAGCATGGAGGCTGGCGTTGCCAACCTTTCTTTATGGCTGTCATGCTGACCCTCTGGTGTCAATACTTTGATTCACTGACCTGGGCCAAATATACAGATCAGGAGTTTTGGCTTTACTCCAACACTCTACACACTTGTTCCAGGTCAGTTACAAGATTATCATCTTTACAGCCAGGCACACAGGATTTAGCAGAAGGAAGTCAGCAATGACATCCCTTGCATTCTAGCGTTACTTTAAAGGAGAACTATGGGGTTAGAGCTTTTCCCTATAGTTCTCCTTAGGGTAATGGGAGGACACAAACTAGCGTCCTCCCGTCACCCTAAGCTCAGTATACTGCGAGCTACTGCTCGCGGTATACTGAGACGATGGAGCTGAAGCGGATCCCGACAATGATGTCTGGATCCGCCCAGCTGCGTGAGTGACAGCTGGCTCTGCCTATCTAGAGGCAGAGCCAGCTGTACCCGCCCCTCCCCCGTCCGTTCCGCCAGTCAGCGCTGGAGGATCGAAGCGGGGAGGGGGGAATCCAGCCACTCCCGTCACGACAGAGAGCCGTGGCAGGATCGAGAAGTGAGGGAACGCCGGTATGTGTTCGCTCACTTTCCGATCTACTGAGCCGACCTGTGACAGTCTCATTGTCACAGGTCAGCTAGAACTATGAGGAGAGTGAAAAGCACTCACCTCATAGTTCTCCTATAATTAGAAACATGATTCCATCTTCTGAGAAGTGATTTGTTACATTTAGTGCAGAATCATCAAATGCAGAATCATCAAATTACTCATTGCATGACAATGAGTAAATTTTCTTGTGATTTTGATTCTGGTTGAAGTTCTATTTTGCCTGCATTCCTCAACTACACATATTAATCTTTTCATAAATATCACATGTTACTTTACTGGCATTTACTTTCTGACCCAGAACAGAAATGTCACCGGTGTTAAAATGAAGTCAGAACTATTGATCTGCAAACTTGTTCTAAGTCATTGATGGAAAAGGTTTTGATACTATCATGGCACCCAGAAAAAGTAATTTTTTTGGAATCAGAGGTCCGTAGTGGCAGCCCACAAAGAGTATTTCTCCCAGTATAGGTTTCCTTTAGTCTAAAAGTGAAAGGCCTACTCAGTCAACAGCCTGTCCTCACACATGGTGAATGGGAATCCTGTACAAAAAGAAGCGTCCTGATAGCAAGTTTGAAAAATTGTGTGAACAGATATGTGTTTACAAGGTTTCCATGTCTCTAATGTGTGGAGGAATAGAAAATTCGGATCTGTGTGGGGTCATGTCCTCTTTAGGATATATTTACAGAGGGGCAGTAATGGGTCAGTGAAAAAGTCTGCTCCCATGTTGTAACAGAAGCTTTGCCTATTCTGTAAACCAAGCTGCTTATAAGGAAGATGTACTAAAGTTGTTGAGAAAATTGACAACAATTTTCATGCTTTCACATACTGCACTTAATATTAGCGTCTCTCCCATTGCAAGGAAAGAAGGTAAGGGTGACTGTCAGTGTTTGGTGATGAAATAAAATAATATCCTGCCTTTCCATTAGCCCAAAGTTGCACTTTAACAACAATAATACTAAACTTATGGAAAAATAGGAAGAGAATCTAACCCATACCCATTGCGCGATGGGTAAAATGAAACTGTATTACATACACAGTACCCACTGCTTGACAGAATCTGAACTGAGACAACTATGGGGTCTACCTTCTTCTTAGCTTGAATACATACACAAAGTCACAAATTCTGATCTCCATAAAATATCTGGGTCAGTGATTCTCAAAGTACAGAAGGCTCTGAGCCAGCATTACAGCCAGCCAACTAATCTTTCAGGAGAGCTAAGCAATGGTAGTCTCAGTATAGGTTTCCTTTATATTGAACTGGAGCTTTGCTAATGCAGGGTAAAACAACAGGTTCATCTCGGAACCAACATATAGTCACCTTTCCTTTATTCCCCTGCTATCCAGATGTTTTCTATGGTCCTGGTGAAGCTGTAAAGGATAGGTGAGTATATACTACAGAGGAGGGAATAAAACAAATGCTTTGCTTTGCTTTTCATGGACAAAGCATAGATATGATTTAAGCAAAAAATATTTTGAGGTTAGAATTCCTTTAAATTCCATCTTGACAAAACTGCCATAGAACACTATTTAACCTGATTTCTAGCTGTATCTCACCTTATAAGAATGATGACAGATGGAGTCTGGGCCATAGCTCCAATCATGCTGCAAACACACATCACACATAGGAATGTGAGAAAGGCCTCCTGGCATCCAGGGCTGGGACATTTTCCAGGAACCACTGTGCTGTTCTCAATGGGGACAGACATGACACATGAGCAGCCAGTCAGATTCTAGATGAAAAACATCAAGCAAAGGTTATGCACAAGTTTTTTTATTTTGTTCCTAGTATGCCTTTTCTAGGCAAGTTATCAAGAGGAACTGCCAAATGGCAATTAAGCGGTGCACAGTAATCTACAGATTATCATAAGCTTTATTTATATGCACACCTTTCTTAAACTCAAACTGAGAACATAATTTACAGCGGATTATTAAAGATGTTTTTTTCTTTGCACATATTAAAACAACACCTACTTGTGAAAGCTTATGTAAGAAAGAAGTTCATTGCTAAGATTACAGGAACATTCACTTAAACTGGCTGAAGATGTTGGTTGCCAACCACTATGGTGAATGAGAAGCAGAATTCTAGTTTATACCACATTTTCAAACAAAAAGTAATACAAATGCTACATTCTAGTATATACCTGTTATGTAGAAGTAATTAGATATAAGACTGACTACAGACTTAATACACACTGGTATTGTTATCTGCAGCTTTGGAATTAAACTTGCTTAGCTCTGCCCCGTGTTACCTCCTGACCTCATTTGTTGCAATAGTAAAACATGTTCTTCTGCTATAGAAGTAAATCCTAATGATTAATTACTGACTGGCAGAATTTTTTTAAATTTTTGGCCAATTATCAACTCTTGGGATGCCAAAAGAGGCAAATGTGTATGAGGATCCATAATGCTCTTGCCAAAAGATATCCATCCACCAAATGCTGTGAAAGCATTTGACACACTTTAACATTTTAGGACAAGCCTAAAGTTTTGATTTTTCTGAGGTTTATTAAAATATTTAGCTTTGAGCCATCTTGACTACATGCCATGCCAGGGCAATGGGGCTGGCAAAAAGATACTGTACTTATTAAGATGTCCTATTTGAGAAGGCCATAAACAATGTAAAGAAATAACAACCAATCAGAATGAATCTTTCTATTATCTTTAATTAAGCCTGATTTGATGCAAGGGACAAGTATAGATTGCTTTTTAGCAGTGCCGTATTATATAGTACAGAAAATATTTGTCTTTTTCAACCGGACACACACCATGATAGATAAAAAACTTACTTTGAGCACCAGGGAATCTGCTAGGCTATCCCCAGTATTACAATTGTGGATAATGTTGTGCTAATTTGGTCCTGCACCACTTGACTATAATATTCAACTCACCTTCCAATTTTTCCCCTAGTTTAGTAATGACGAGCCAGTAAATTGTATCTGCATTAACAGTGAGAGGAATAAGTGTGTGCCGTCAAGGCAAAAAAAAGCCTGTTCTTAATGAATAGGAGATGAGAGCATTTTCAATGAATCAGCACGCATTTTATTTGCAGTCTGTAATTCTCTCAATATGATGAAGACTTGAGAAGCAGGAAATTGCTTCCTAGGGTTAATGCTGTGTTTAAAATGAGCTATCTGTGCTATATCATTTATCTTATATTGAAATAATAAACACAATTTGAAATAGAAAGATAAATATTGTTATTATTATTATTATAAATATTATTATATAAGATTTATATAGTGCCAACAGTTTGCATAGCGCATTACAAGGTAAAGGTAGTTAGTACAGATACAAAACAATTCAATAGAAGTGGATTAAGGGGACCCTGCTGGTGACAGCTTATACTCTAAAAGGGAAGGCCAAATTATACAAGTGGTTATAACTGTAAAGAATGAGTGAATGGAGAAAGTAAAACTACATGTTTTAGGTGGAGGCTTCCCTGAAGACAGGAGTTTTCAGGGTTTACAAAACAGCGAATAGGAGATAGCCAGGCAGATTAGAGTAAGGAGTTCCAGAGGATGCGGGAGGCTCTGGAGAAGTCTTGGAGGTGAGCTTTGGAGGAGGATATAAGGAAGCTAAAGAGAAGGACATCCTGGAAGGAGCAGAGAGGACTTTTTTTGTGATATTTTGAGATGAAGTTGGCGATGCAGCTAGAGGCAGAGAGGTGGATGGCTTTGAATGTTGTTTTATTATTGAATTTTATATGCTGTGCTACTGGAAGCCAGTGGAGAGACTGTCAGAGAGGGTCACAGCAGCCAATGAGCAGTTGGTCTGGCAGCAGCATTTATGATAGGCTGAAGGAGGATAGTCTGTGTAGAGGTAGGTCAACAAGAAGGGAGTTGCAATAGTTCAGGCAAGATACTAATAAGAAAAAGTAATGATGTGTCCATGGGATTGCAACTCTTCCTCCCCATATCCTCACGTATGCTTACAATTGTGCATGACAGAACAGTGGCAAAAATAGGTTTTTGATTGAACAACTCCTGTCATTCTCTATAGTCTGTGATGAAGGATTTGGGCTTAATAGTTTCCTGTGACAAGACAATCCTCAAAGCAAAGAAAGACTGGTGTCTGTGTGGTATGGTTACTCTTAACAACCAGAAGGTATCGAATACTTCTGTAGGACATGGTCTATGCCCCTTAGATATTCCTACCTTGCCCACCAGTATGGCATGGGGTGGAAAGCATGGGGTGGAAAGCATTACTGCAACCCAGGACTAGTATAATCCACCACACTGAAATAACTACAGGAACAATAGGCCCAAGTGCTTCTGTGCCCAAAAGTAAGCTATTCTTTATGGGGCTTCCAGTGACCCAAGAACATAAGTATAGTACCCTATCATGCACAAATGATAAAAGCCTCAGCTTTAACTTAAGCCAACTTAAGGTATACCCAGCGTACTGTCCAGAGTTGTGGGCACATTAGAGGGCCAGTCATTTATATTATGACACAAGAGAGGATTTCTAAAACTTACCTTTGTGCAGCCAGCATAGCAGGCAGACAGGTAGGTTATACCATCAGCACCGCAAACAGGAGTGAAGGAGTCATTGTGGCAATCACAGTCACTGTTGCAGGGAGGTGGGTGAACTAATGAAGCCCCCGAAGAAGAACTGAGAGACAAAAACAAAACACCTACATTTGATTTACACAAAGTACAGACCGATGGGAAGAAAGTTTATATGACAATGGGGATAATTGTATAAGTGCATGTCTGTGATCTGTTACAAAATCAATAAATGAAATATAGCAAATCATTTTCACTTTACAGTATCAGTAGTATAACTACTAATCCGACACATGTGTGAGTGAGAAAGGATTAGAACCTTGACAGGAAGAGAGGGAAATCTCTGCAATAAAGAAACAAAAAGCAATAAGACATTGTAGGGTTTTTTTTTTAAGGGTAGAATTTTTCGCAGGCTTTTATTGTTCCTGTGTCTCCACTGGAGAGATTTCCCATTACTTGTAGTCCTCGGTACACAGGGTTTATAAAGGCATAGCAGGGTATTACTGGAACAGAAGATAAATCAAATTTCTGGTGTTAGACTTGGACAAATAACAAGAAGTAAAAGTTATGACACATGGTTTTTACATGGTCCCTTCCTTTTAGGAATTTTGATTGATAGAAGCCGCCCATTTAGATGCTGATACTCAAACCCATCATGAATTGGGTGTGAAACACCAACAGGTCAGCCGCACACAGTTAAGTAGAGCGAACTCACTATGCAGTCTTGTTAGCAGCAGGGAATCAGATTACATATTCTATTGGACACTGTTCATATGCATTCTGGAAACTTAATTAATTCCTCAGCAATTAAATATTAGGGGGAGTAGTACTTTTTTCTAGAAGTGAGTGACAGTTTTTGGGACATATCCAAGCACTGAAGCGGAATTAACTGAAAGAAATTAAATATTGTGAACAGGCAGGGTTTTAATTGCAAAAGAGACAAGCTGCCTCCACTGCTATAAAACAAACTTACTTGCCTGTTCACAATCTTCTTTAGAATGCACACTGAACAAAAGTTACGTCATTCTGGCATTATCAATCAAGATGGCTGAAGAGCCCGCAACTGGGAAAAGACCAGGTGAAGATGTCAGCACTAGTGAGAGAGTGAGGGGAGGTGAGTTTACTTCTGATTTTAAAAAAAAGGGCTGTAGACATGAGGGGCTTAGATTGTTTTCAAAATGTATTAGTATATATTTAACTTTTTTGGAGTTCTTCTTCAAATAAAACTCTGGAGATATGTTAAATAAATTGGAGCAAAAGAAGATTCCTTAATCCTACAGCAATCATTATATTTTCATGTAGGTTTTAAACCACAAAATGGCCCCTGGAATCTGATAGTTTGCAATATAAAAGCCTCTACTTTACCATGCTAATCTTTTCTTTTTAATAAGCTGCATTAATTAACATGCCTAAAGACAAACATTTATTTTTATTTTTGGGCTATTACTGTATATACGGTTGGTTATTTTTCTGCAGCCATCAAAGTTCTCTGTCTCTCTAGTAAATTTATAAAAAAAGATCTAACAGATTCATATTCATTTCTTTAACCAAAGGGTAATTTTTCAAATGACAGCTGTAATCTATGAGTCCAGGAGCGCAGTGCATATGGTCTGTCACTTTTCTAAGATCCATTATAACAAAGGATCATTGTCAGAAAAAGCAACACACTGTTCACTTTAAAGACTGTGAAATGGCAGGTGTGACATTTATTGCTACCTAAAGCAGGTAAGAAGTGCACTTTGAACACTCTTGCTTGGTTTCAACATCAATAAAAGCTGAGACTCTCTGAAATACTTTGTTGAAGTGTTCTCTGCTAAAGTATGGCCATTCCAGATATTTATGTATTTGACTAGTGGAAATCTATCTGCTATCTCTGAATTTCCAAACCATCCTATCTTTCAAGTAGTCTTAGCTAAATTTCAAAGAATCATTTACAATATTGCTATTGTGATGGAGTGTGTTTAGAAAATTGTTTCACCACGGATGAAAAGGATCATTATACCAATTGATGTGATTTTTCTAAAGGTAAGGGAACGTTGGGGGCACAATTAATTTTTCTTTTTATGCGACATGGATTCACAGAAGCACTTAGATAATATAAATAGACGTTGAGGCCATGGAGTGAAAGATTTATCTGACAAATTAAAATACATATATAGAGCCAATATACTGTGGCTATGCACAAACCATAAATACTGGAATGATAAAGGGCTGGGGTACAACACATGAAAACTAGTTTAGAATATGTGGTAAACACTGGGTTAAAATACCGATATATGGAAGAAGGAGGGGAGTCACTGAACACCTGATGAAACTTTGTAATTAAGACACATGTATATATACACAGGGTGTGTGAGACCGCCTTGGCATAATAGGGATCTAAAGAGTGTGGGTGCTAACCATATGAGGTTAATTAGGAATAGAGGAAAGGTACTACTAAACACACAGTTAAACTGCAATAACTACACATAAAAGGAAAGCCAATATTTAACCTAGACTAAGCACTCTAATCACTTTTTAGCACTGTGAAGCTGCACTGGACTCCTTATGCGTCTCTGGTTCCGCCGTGTGACACTCCATAGAGTTGATGAGGGATTCCCCATCACCCTGAGAGTAAGACCTCTCCAGGATCATGCAATCTCGGGACGAATAGTCGAATAGAAAGAAAGGTAAAATAATTAACCATTCACATGTATGATGTAGAAATACCCTGTTGCATATCTAGACCAAGAATTATAATCAAAACAAATATCATGGGACAAAAGGAAAAATTATGAAATATTTCTGCATATATATATTGAATAATTTAATGGTAAAATGATCAAATATATGCACTATGGATGAATAAGTCTTGATGGACAAATAATCAATATAAACAAGATATTCCATGTTTTGAATATCAATGTGAACTCATTATTGACAAATGAAGAATAACGAATATATTATACTGACTAATGATAAATAAGGAACTGTATGTACAAGCAGAAAATGGAAATAATTGAAGATTTTTGAGATACAATATATTATATGCTGATTTTTGATCTCATGGTTGAATACTGACTTATATTGTATTATATGTGTGTTTTTTCTTCAAAAAGACAGATTATTGCTGAAAATCGATAGATACAAACAAACAAAACAAACATACCCCCCTGAAGAAGCCATTGTGGGCGTAACGCGTAGGGGACTCACCAAATAATTATATACTTGTTAAGAATTATATGGAATATGTAAAAGTTATATGAATGTACTATTTTGTAATATGGATTATAAGTAGATGAATCAGCAATAGCCGTTAGAGACAGTATTTTGACATCTGGAGAACTACATGAATGTCACTATAAGTGGACTGTTTTATATTGAACTATGGGATTGTTTATAATAATTTAATAAATATTTATTAAGTACATATATCTGAGTCCTTTCTAAACACACTCCATCACAATAGCAATATTGTAAATGATTCTTTGAAACTCAATAATTGGGAGGTGTGGACTCAGGTCACCTTGGCTGAGATCGGGAAGTGCTATTACTGGATTTACAAAGTCTTAGCTAAATAAAATGCATTTAACATATAACCTACAGAGAAGAGTAGAGGAACTGTAAGAGATGCCACTGTCTGGCCCACACCTGCAAAGCCACTCTCTGAAGAAGATCTGGGGATCACCACAAGTTGATGCAGTGCTTGAAGATCCTATCGACATCCTACTGATACATTGGGACTATGAAAATCTCCATGTGAATAGGGCTAGTCATCTGTAAAATCCCCAATGAAGTATAAACAGGGGTCATAACTGTACCAACTTTTCATTTTTCATTTAATGTTTCATCTTGGCCCTAAATGGAGTTCTATTGCCCAATAGTTCTGCCCCCTACCTGCCCAAACTCGCACCCCCGGTGTGCAATGACAGAATCTATTACAGTAAGCTGTGGTAATGGGGTGGGTGGAGTGTCAGAGCCCAAAATAAGCATCCAAGAGATGGAATCAGACACAACCAGAGTCTGGGAGGAACACTGTGTGAGTTACAAATAAAGTGAGTTGCACATTCTCCACTTGAACCTCCTTTATATTGGTGGTCACTTGTGCATTGGCCCCTCACCTTGGGGGTCAGTGCCCCTTTATATTTGTGCAGCTCCTTTACTGAAATTGGAACAGGGATTTGACACCAATGTAATAGGGCAAATCACCACTGCTCACCAATGTAAGGGGGTACTACATCACTGACACCAATTAAAGGGGGCACTTCTACCCTGACACCAAGAAAAGGGGATACTTTTCTATTGACACCAAGGTAAGGGGGGTTTCCATACTTATCAATGATTTAAGGGGGCACTCTTTGAGACTTTCATTCTGGCACAGTGATTAAAGCATATTTTGTTGGTACAAGGACTGTGGCAAAAGTGTGTTGTGTGTACAGCCAATAGACTCAGGTTCTAATTAGATATGCCCCTACCACTGTCAGCGCGGCATGGCCAAACTCACAATGTGCCGCATCATTGTTCTACCTGGGGTGCCTCTTAGGTATTTAACAATTCTATCAAAGCCCTTGGTTACCACTTGACTGCACAACCTATTTTTGTCCAAGCATTAAATCATTGGATCAGTGGTGAGGAAATGCAGACTTCCTATAACTGACACCAAGGACATGTATGGGAATTAAAGCTCATGTGAGTGGGCGGTCAAGGTTCTTGGGTCCCAGTCTAGCAACAGTTTTCTTATTTGGGTCCTCTAGTTAAAAAGTTAAAGAACCTCTGTATTAGAGAACTATTGGTTATTTTTTTTCTCTTAGACCTCTGAAGCAAAAACAGGATAACAAATACATAAAATCTAAAATCAGTGTGTCTAGAAAGGCACTGATTAAAAAAAACAGTTTGAGCTGGAAGGTATGCATTGATTTATACAATGTTTAGTGGTTTAAGAAACTGATGAATATTGAATCTTTTATCACATGGACAAAGAATACAGTCTCGTTTGGTTTTTTTTAATTTCATTTTCACATTAATATAAAGTAGGCAGACACTTTAAGTATATAAATTTATAGACTGCGTCTATATGAGCTGTCAATCAGAATTTTGCTTTTAACAGCCTTAAGTGTTTGTTTCTCCAAGTCTTCTGCAGTAACATAAAAACATAACTGAACACAACTGAATATGACTAAATATGGTGTATTCATATTGCTTGAGATTTATATAAGCTCAGTAATAAATACTCATGTCACTTGTAACTCCTTTATAAAGCCCTTCCTAAAATGTCAGCTGACTGATTTTAACAGTGTGCTCTGCTCAGCTTGTGTTATAGTGCTGCACGACTATAAAATCCTTTAGTGACATCTGTTGCATCGCTTAAATTAAGTAAACTTGACCTTTTGTACATCAGTGACTAAGCTTGGCAAAACTGCATTATTGAGCAGAAAGTATCAGTGAATGGTAAAAACCATGTTACGCTACAGCAGAAAACAGCAATTGGTAATACTTACATGTTTCCATAGGGAACAGTTATTCCTGCTACAGGCCCTGTGTCACATCCAAGGAAGAGGAAGGACACATAGCAAGCTGTGGACACTAGGTTTACCAGCATTGCCATTCTAATGGCACCAAGGGCAGATAAACTTAGTTTCTTGACAAGAAGTCCGCCTAGGAAAATGCCTAAGCAGGCACATGGTATTGCTGTCATTCCTAGAAGAAGGCAGAGTATTATCAATAATTAATTCCATCATTCTATTCATGTGTTCAACATCTGTGAAAGTATCAGGATATGCCAGAGCTGCAGATGTTTAAAATGAAAGTGAACTAGAAATTGCAGAGTGATAAAGTGTTACACATGACACGGCTGACCTCCTGTTCTATAAACTGCAATCCAGCACTTCTAAGCCTATTTTAGCCTAAAATGACAAGTAACAATACATTGCATGCTTAAGTAACGCTACATTGAAATACATAGGGACTGAAAAACAGATCTGGCATTCCCAGTGGATTAATTTTAGTTTGTTTAAACTTAATTTAAACTAAGCTTAGAGATAGCATGGTCTTAAAGTGACACTAAACTCAGGAGTTACATCTTAAAAATGCATTGAAGTACCATAACTATTAACACAAAAGGTAGCTTATTTGTGTATCACTCGGCTGTAGATCCTCAAATCATCTCTGAATTGGTGCTGACACTGTCCTTCCTTCTGGGGGGGGGGCTACTTTTGTTCCCCATGGTACCTGTGTGTGTTGTAAAGTAGCCATCACTCCAAGCTCACTCCTCTGATGGACTACAATCTCAATACAAATTAGTAAACTAAATGTGAGATTGTAGTCCATCAGGGGAGTGAGTTTGGAGCGGTGGCTTCTTCACAACACACACCGAGACCATGGGGAACAAAAGTAGCCACCCTCCAGAAAGAAGGACAGTGTCAGCACCAATTCAGAGGTAATCTGAGGATCTACAGCCGAGTGACACATAAATAAGCTACATTTGTGTTCATAGTTAGGTTACTTGAATGCTTTTTTAAGATTTAACTCCTGAGTTTAGTGTCACTTTAATGGCTTAATTCACAAAGCTAACACACCAGGATAAGAATCCTTTCTTTCAAAAGTGACAATTACTTATATCTGAAGGCAATGACATTTGAGAATACCAGTCACATAGATAAAATAAAAGTTTTTATCATTGTGTTAAGGATTGTGAATTCAGCCTTTTATGGTATATGCCTGTTTTTATAGCCCAGGCCCAAAGAAGCATGAGACAGGACTCACAACTTGTTTAAAGCCCAAATTAAGTCTTACACATTTTTATTTTCTAACAGTCCTGAACATCAGTGTGTCAGAATTTGTGGCTAAGAGTGCCTTTTCCTCATAGTAGAAAGGCTGCTTTTTGCTCTCACACTGCAGTGCTCTGTGCTGGTACAGCTGAGTAACATCCATACCCTCAGCACAAGTGTCCATGCATAAGATTTTATTGCAGAGAAGTGGAGATGACGTTTCTGATCAGGTCATTTTCATTACAGAGCACCCTGAGTCTTACTCTGGTGTCTATTAGACTGCACAGTCATATTTAGATGGCACAACTGCTATTAGCACAACTGCTTAAAGTGGAGAAAGTACTATGACAATGGAAGTTGTTAGTACATCTAGCAGACTGCATATGTATTTCTGTGACTCCAATTGGGCTTTAAAGTCTATAACCCATTTTTGACATCATTGAAATAATTTTGCAGTCTTATTATAATGTTTTTCATGTACTAAGTATAGCTGACATTTTACACAGTATGGAACTGACTGGTGATTTTTCTAGTATTGAGAGTTCCGGTAAAGGTTACATGTTGTTGTATCCAAGGTCACACAATATGCTTCCGGAATAGGCAAAGCCAAATAGATTATGGGCCACTGAAATAATATAACAAACTTGACTAGATAATCCCCTGATTTATGACATGACCTGAAAGAACATGTTTTTTTTCTTAAGGAGCCACAGGTTTAATCAACATTACATTAGTCCTCCAACACAATAAAGCTGATGTTTTACAATTCTGCAGCAATGACAAAGTGCACCTTTGAACAATGCTGCTACACAGCTAGATGGGCAGTTCAAACTACATGCAAATAAAGACATTTCTATGTTCTGTGTCTCTCATTTTCCTCTCACCTAGCAGTTGATTGGCAGATGATGTTGTCAAGTTAAATTGCTGCTCTAGGTATTTCCCCAGGAAAGCTGCAAAGCCAGCCACCACAGCAATCTCCATGCAGGCGGCAAGACCGATGCAGGTGAACACAGGGTTGGAGAGCAGGTGCTTTGTGACTTTTGGAATGACTGAAAGAGAACAGAGATATCTGGATCATGGGCTTAGAAAGCATCAGTGTCTAATTCATTTTGACATTCAGTTGTTTGGCAGGATTCCTTTTCAATGAGCTAATACTTGGTGTGCCGCTTTTCTGTTAGAATGAAAACTACACAGGGCTGAGTTGTCGACCTGGTAAAACCACTAATTTGACAAAATAAAATATGCTGCCCAGGGAAAATGAGAAAATTGTAAAGGTGTCAAACAAGGCTGTTTCAATACAGGGAAAAGAGGCCGTGTCTTGGGGCTACCAAGACAAGGGGTCATTATCAGACCATTTTTAAAGACAATGCATAACACAATTCCTAAAATGTTTATGTATCTAAGAAACCAGGTATTGTGCCAGTCTGATCCCTCTAAAAACAACATCCCTGTCATGTTACACATGCTTTGTGATATGACTTTAAATATTATTTGCTTTATCTGTCTCTGGTATTTGTCTCCACCCTTCAGCATAGTTCAGTTTTACTCCGTGTAGATAGCTCCACTCTTCTTCATTCTTTATCCAGTCTGCTTCTCAGCCACATGTCCTTTGCTGAGTGGATTGCATTATGATCTGTTGACCTATCCTATGTTTGCCGATGTAACAATCTTCTCAGTATAATTTAGATTGTGGCCTGCCTGCTAACCACATCTGAGATTGCGTGTAATAGGCATCTCAACACAACTTCACACTTTCAATGCTTAGACTGAGGAGGCAGAACAATACCCTTTCAAGCAAAAGGCTTTGTCAATGTATTTAGTTGCAAACTATCTCCATAAAATATGCATTTCCCCTCCAAGGTGCTGTTCATCTATTCTCCTCTGTTGAAGCATTCAATGGTTGTGGAATTATGGAGATGGGCTGTGGAAGAAGGGTAGCACAGTATATTTAGACTGCTGGTAGAACTATAGTAGAACTATACTATGCAAAGATACAGTAGGAATGAAGAATGCCAGCTTGGAAAGACCATATTTCTTAAGTCCTTGGAGTTAGATTATAGTTCTAAATCGTTATTCATGAGACATAAATAGTTTCCAAAGCATGATTACATTTTATGTAATCTCTTCTCAGTTTATGCGAGTGCTAGAAACCCAGCAGCTGCTATACCGGTCACCAATTTATTAATATTTTGTAATGCTCATATCCCTAGCATATGCTACCAATCAATGCGTAAAAGTACCTATTTTCTTTTCTGCCACATGATATGTAGTAATATACTTACCTCAAATATCTTCACATTATACATTGTAGTAGCTTTTTAAGAACTTGTTTGCATTGTATAAGTAGCGTTCATTTTACAGATGAAAACTTGACCCTGACAAATGGTGTGTGACTAGTAAACCCACTCCAAACACCATCCTCTTGAAGCCTTGCTTCTGGTGACCTCTCAAATGGCTCCATATCTCTATCATTTATACTTAACAGGTACACGAAAGAAAGTGAAGTTGTGGAATTTTTATGGGTAAGTGCAGTGCGAGAAGGGTTACTGACATCAAGGCTAAAAGATAGGAGCTGGAAGCCCAGGGCAAAACACTGCAGTCTAGCCTTGTTGCTGTGATTTCTGTTTATATGTCAATGGGAAATTACATTCCAGGATAAATAGTCCTTTACCCCTGTAAGGTCTATAGAAAATGTTGCATTATAGAGAACTAACATCATTCTATGGAGCATTTATTAGTTCAAGATTAACCCTTTTTTTTTTTTTATAGAAGCATCTAATTGAGCACATAAATTTGAAAGTGATTACTCTGAAATAGGAAATTTGGTTAATGGATCCAATATCAAACTTTCTACATCAGTAAACATCTTAATTATTTTAATGATAACACAGCTTGATCTGGAAGTCATCATAATGTATTCTCGCACTCCTTTGTCTTAATAAGTAGTGACTAATTTCGCACAGAATTAAAAGTGATAATCTATCTGTTTAACATTTAAAGCAGTGAAGTGTTGGAAAGGTTTTTGTGGCATTCATGCTGCATGATAAAATGTATGATTAAATGGGTATTATGAATGGAGCCACTGCATTTCATATCCATATTAAAGAAAACACTATCAGTCTGAATGATGAACAAGCTCTGGTTTCTAAAGAAGAAAACAATGCCTTTAATTAAGTTAAAAAGCAACCAATCAGCAGTCATTTTTCATTGTTTTGACTTCCCTAAACCAAGGAAATCTCATTAGCTGCTGTGTCTTGCCTCCTATCATAACTACCTGTGCTGTCCTTATGATTTTTATCAGATATACTATCATCTTAAGGACCACTGAACATTCAAATGCTAAACCCTGGTCATTTGTGACATACTGAGCCGGTTTAGCCCTAATTGTTTTATAAATTCCTCATGCATGTATTGTCAATAACTCCTGCTGCTGATTAATATCTCAAAGCAGCAATTAGATATGAACCTCGTAGATGATCAATGACAAAACGATACACATTTTTCAGTGTGTCTGCTTATGGTTGCCTTGGTACCATACTAATATTCACATAATTTGCTGAGTTACTGAAATCTTCAAATGTAGTTGTATTTATAGCCGATGTATTTAAACACAAAGCATCAAACCTTGCCAATTCTACTAGTGATCAGATGCCTTAGAACTTAAGCTGGTAACTTTGTTTTACAATACCTTCCTCAAATCTTTACACATACAAATTACTTTCACATCTACATGCAAATCGTTCACATAGGCATATGGAGGTAACTAAAGACAGTCTTTAAATCTCTGGTCACTGGCTATTTTTGCTTTTTCTTGCATTGAAGAGTATGTAAACCATAGCACCCTAAAAATAGCATTAAAAGAGTTTTGAAATATCTAAACCGTAAAAACCTGTCGATACTGCAATAGACCCAGCGGAACTTGCAAGCTCCTGTGTTCTCTGTCTCTGCTGCACTGACATTCTAAGCAGTTATGATTCCTGCTCAGTTTACCTCTGTGATCTAGAGTACACATCCCTTCATGTTTTGTAGATGAGGAGAAAGGGGGGAGTCCTATAATCAGGGGCAAGCAGCTTAGGATGACCATGCTGCTCCTCAATAGATACAGCTCCTATTTTCTGTATTTTTTGCAAACAAAAGAAAATCACCATTCTGAATATTTCTCCCTTGCTTTTTATAATGAATAAACAAATAAATATGTATTAACATGAACAAAAATGTGTATACCCTTGTGCTTGAAGACATGTACATACCGTGTTTCCCCAAAAATAATAGTCAGTGTACCCATTGCACTCCTTACCGCTAAATCCTTGATGAATGGGTTGGGTGCATCAGTACTCGACGGATGGCCACCGTCCAGGCAAAGTATAAAGAGTTATGGACACCGGCACTCCAAAGTAGAAAAACGTCTTTTATTGACGCATCATGCAACAATACGCTTATACTAGTATAAGTGTATTGTATTATATACACAATACACACCCCAAAAATAAGACACTGTCATATATTTTTTTCCCCCAAAAAAAACATACTAGGTCTTATTTTCGGGGGATGTCTTATTTTAAATACTGTCACACAGTGTTACAATACCTGCAGGCTGCAGCTGTCCTGGAGCTCTCCTCTCTGATGCCGTCCACAGTTCCCTGTGGGATCCCCGCCAGGGAGCCACCTCTCTCGTCGCCAGGCTGGACTACACAGACCTCCATTCAGAAGTTCCCGGAGTGACTGAGGCTCAGTCACCTCACCCCGACCCCACTGGCCATATGTTCCTTGCCGCGCTGTGCCGCTGCCTGCTGGGAAATGTAGTTTTCTGCCCGGCTGCAGCCTTCTAAGCAAAGGCAGACGCGTGTCTGCTTATTTCGTCACACGGGCAGCATGTGGGAGCTGCGCCGCAGCAGTTAGTCCCTGCTATGACTCTGGTTGCTCTTCAGGCCGCCCCCAGCCCCACCCCTAAACTAGGTCTTATTTTTGGGTAGGTCTTATATTACAGGAATGTTTAAAAATAGTGCTAGGTCTTACTTTCGGGGTAGGTCTTATTTTTGGGGAAACACGGTAATTGTGAAAGGGCCTGGCACCCTAGCACTCCCATAGCCTGACACATTAAACAAAATATCCATCACTCTTCCTGTTGTAAAGTAGTAGGGTCTATTGTTCAATGCTGCAGTAAGCTGCAGTGAATACAAATTGATGAAATGTTATTTTGACATTTCAATAATAGTTCAAAAAAAAAAGGGGGGGGGGGAGTAACAGTGTCTTGTGTTGCACCCCCCTCCCCAACTGTTGGCATTCAACAGACACCAACCCACAATTTATTGTTAGAGTCATCTATGTATGACATAGTGCATAGAAATATGCATGCTTGAATACTCTTAGCTGCTCTGTTGAACAAATGAAACAAAAAAGATGAATATCCCCCCTTCGTCTACCACCTCTCTGCCAGGGCCCCATTGCAGTTGTCCACTTCCAGTATCCTTTGACGAAAAATGGTCTTAGTTAGGTAAAGCCTGCTTAGCACCTCTTTTCCAGAGCGCCAAACTTGTGTTGTCTTCTGGAAACCCCCATGCAAAGGGTCTCAGCTAGATGACACCTGCCTAGCACCTTTGTGCCCATGTCAGTGTCCTCTTCTGTGACCTACCTATGCAGAGGGCCTTGGCTAGACAACACCTGCCTAGCACCTCTCTGCCAGAGCCCCATGCTGGTGTCCCCTTCTGGGGATCCTCTATGCAAAGGATCTCAGCTAGGCGAAGCTTGCCTTGCACCTCTATGCCAGGCCCTATTCCAGTGTCCTCTTCCGAAAACGCCCTATGCAAAGAATCTCGGCTAGACGACACCTGCCTAGCACCTTTCTGCTAGAGCCCCCATGCCAGTGTCCTCTTCCAGGACCCCCCCATGCAAAGGGTCTGCAGTAGGCAACGCATGATTAGCACCTCTATGCCTGGGCCACCAGACTGGTGTCCTTTTCAAGGGCCCCGCTACGCAAAGGGTCTCGGCTAGGCGATGCCTGCCTAGCACCTATCCACACCACTTAACTTTTAAAAAAAACTCCCTGCTT